TTCAGCTCTTCCATGCCATTGTTCGCGTCAATGGTTTCTCAACTTCTTGATAGTCAAGTGGAGATTCAAGTCTTGTACCCCACATAAAGTGGTTTCTATTAGAAAACGTCCAAATCAGGAAAATCGAACTTGTGACGATTCGACAATCCACTGAATTTGGAGGGAACAAGGTTGTGATTGGTGCTATGGGAATGAATCATCCATAAACATCAAAGTTAGAACATTCAAGTTCTAAGACATGGTTTTCATGAAAAAAACGTCGGGTTTTTATGGGTGTATTGTTTTATGAAATCTTCGGGTTTCAAAGGCACTAAATTTGAAACTACAGGTTCAATTTAGTTTATGAACGTTTAGTTCATAAAGGAGAGGATCCAGTAAGAAACACAGAATGCAATATACTAACTTAGTGTAGTGGATTGAGTTGCTTCAGAAACTCAAGTGTGAGTGCTTCGGAACTACGAAAGTGAGTCAATGGTTCAAAGAATAGAAATAAATTATTGAATAGTTAATGTCCAAAAGTGATCTTCAGGTCAATAATTTTGGATTCATTATCAGATTAATGAACTGCAGGTCACTTTTAATTAATTCAATAAATCGGGCCATACGGAGTCGATTGTAGAAGCAAAATAATATTAACATATGGGTTAAATTATTTTAGAATGCTAAAATAATAGCATTTGGATTGAAAAATATGCCCCAAAAATATTTAGGCATGGGTGGGTGTCTTAAGCATAAGACACGGCCCAATAGGGGTCACGGGGTGGACTTCAGGTCACATGAGTGGGGGATAGAAACCCCAGCCGTAGCTGAGTTTCAATTTGGACTCATGGGGTGCACGGAATAAGGCCCAACAGAAGCTAGCCTTTTGGGTGATGCACGGGAGGACAAAGTCCAGCATCGTGGGCTGGTGTGAGGGTTCGAATAGGAGCCCAGCCACATGGGCTGGCTTCCTTTGTTGCGAGCCGTAAGGAACCAAGGCCCAATCAAGTGGGCTGACACCATAGGGAGCAGGGTTGCGGGCCTGGGTGTGTGCGGGACAAGAACCCGGCAAGCTTTGGTCTGGGTCTAGGATAGCTGCAGGCTTTCCACAGAGAAAGAACTAGGACTGCAGGCCTATTCTACTCAAGCAGGCTGAAGGCCTGGGGATCCATTTAGGTGCAGCAAAAGCCCATAGGGCTGCTGCCAAAGTTGTGCCGCAGAAAGGGTGCCAGTCAATGTCCAAGCTCTCTTATTCTTCTTTTTTCAAAATCCCATAGGGTTTAGGAAAACCCTAATTGCTTCTAATTTATTTCGATGCTTTGACTCACGAATTCCACATAGCAAAAATTGTGTAATGCATGAAACAAATATATGAACATATAATATATATATATATATATATATATATATCGGAAGAAAAATATAAACATAGAGGGGTTCATGCATCATGGGGAATGTTTTCATGCTTCATGGTTGTTTCAAATATCTTACTTTATTTTAAGCGTACCTGATTGGCAGACAACAATAAAAGCCTTTGAATTTGTAGAAGATCCATCTCGGAAAGCCGGAATTGCATCTCCAATGCGTTGTATCACGTTCAACTTAGAAAAATTAAATTGAATCAATAGCATGTAGATCAATTCAAAACAATAAATTAATCATAATAAGAATGATTAGAATGTAATACTCCCCTGATTGAAGAATAAACTCTCTTTAGCGCAGCGTCAAGAACGTGCTGATAACGTGTTGTAGGCATAATTTACTGAACAATTATGGATGCCATAGAGAGAGAAGGGGTGCGGCACATAAAGAGAAGAAGAGATATATGTGTAATTGTGGGTGTGTGTTATTCCACCTCATTGTGCCTTTATTTATAATAGTAAGATAGGTAAAAACCTTTCCCTTCAGGATTACAACATTTAATAGGTAATCTACTCCTAATAGGAATATAAGATACATTTTCATATATACTAGGATTTACACAATCACATTCATATTCCAATAGGACTGCAACAAAAACATCTTTTTTTTTAAAAAGCTAATGGGTACAAACTTATTCTAATTTATTTATTTATTTTGGAATGTTTTGAATTGAAAATTAGTTAGGAGTTTAATAAAGGTGTGAGTATTAAAATTCTAAATCTATTATTAATTTTTATTTAAAAAAATTATGTAACGGATATGTAAAATCATTATTACATTAATGCTAAAAACTTGGATCAAAATCTAAATACTAACAAAATTTCAGTCAATGAACATTAGTAATTAAGGACAGATACTAATTTTTCCATTTAAAAAATTACTGTACATCTCATGATTTTATGAATAAGCAAATCGTTTATTGAATGAGTTATTTTGCATTTTAAATACATGACAAGCATCTACGTAACGAGTGACGCAAACTTTATATCGATTGGAAGAGAGTATCATTTCTGCAGACCAAGCTAAAGTAATGCTCTCTTTTAAGTTTTTTTTTTTGTCTATATGCTCTCCTCTTTTTCTCAGACTGTTGAATGAAACGTGACTACTAGCATGATGCCAAAGATGAATCTGAACTTGGGATAAGTCATTGACTGGGTCATTGACTGGTATAAAAATTAGTCACAAGGTGTTGAAGTTTATGGTTGGCGTGGCTTGTCAACCAAGATATTAACTTGTGGTGCTCTTTCGAAGAAAGCCAAGCTAAATATTTCATCTGTAAATAATTCCTTTTTTTTTTTCTACTTCAAAGTATGTTTGAAAAAAAAAAGATGTTAATATTATATATTGTGTCTGTTAAAAGTAGAAGATATATGTCATGAAATATACTTTTTCTGTCGCTTTAATAGAATTGCAAGGAATGAGTTCCGGTCATGAATAATTTATATTCTATCTTCGACTTAGACATAAAATGAAGGTGGACATCCCTTTATTGATTCAACTGTAGATATTTTTGTATTTGATCCAATGATATTTTACATTAAGAAGTAGGAGTATTTAGGCTAAGTTGTTGTATAAGTCCAACATAATAAGATGATATTTGTTGCAGGACATTTATGTCCGTCCATTAATTGGTAATGAATAGGCCATTGATATCTCAAATGAATGGGTCATTCATTTCTTAATTAACTGCTATAATTGTTAGGTCATTTATTCCTTAATTGATTAGGCAACTAATTCTTACTACTGAAATAGAGGTATTTGTGTAATTTGCCAGGATAGCCCCACCATTATATAAAGTCGGCTATAGCTCACATTGTAAAATACTAAGAATTTCTCTAATAGAATTCTCTTGTTCTCTCTCATATTATTTTCAACACTTTTGATCTTAACGGAATTAAAATGTGCAGTTTGATTTTTTTCACCTTTTTGGCAACAATCCTCTAAATTTTGAAAGTAGGATCATCTTTATGTTTTGAAGTATTTCGTACCACTTAAAAAGCATCGGAATTTAAGAAAACATTAAATTCCCAAAATTGACATGCTTAATCCAATACTTTAGTCAAAACATGTGTTTCGAAATAAGTGCATTTTTTTGTGATTTTTTAGAAAGTCTTTAATCCAGTAGGGGCCGGGATGGTGCTTGTCGAAGATCCAAATTCGTCAACTTTCTTACTGTGAAAACAAACCACAAAATTCCAAGGCCTCGTTTGGTAAATAGAATAAGCAATAAATTTGGGTTAGAAGTGATTAGATAAGAGCTAATCCCATCATAATCTCATTATGTGTGTGTTTTACGGTATAACTAATCCCTCCCAAACAATTAGGATAACCAATCAAACCACTTTGACCTTGTCCCTGATCCGAACTCAAGATTTGAATTAACACAAGTGCAAAGGTAAACAATTAGGATTACCAATCAAACTATTTATGTGCTTGTAGTGAGATGTGGAAGACGAAATTAATTGATTTTAAACGTTTAATCAAAATATCGACTTTTGAAATGTTGACGATTGTTATAAACAATGAAGAGGTTTATAAGAACGGTTAGAAATCTCGACACAGAAAATTCATTAATACAAGACCAATGATACTAACCACTTGAGTTAAAAGCCATTACTCAACCAACTGAAAGTTTTGGCAAAAATAATCAACTTAACAATAACAATTTAATACACAACTTACCATAACAATTTAGTAAACGGAACGGACAATTTAGAAATAAATATCATATACCGAAATTTGTTTTTAACAAATAATACGGAACTACTCTAAATTCATATGAACTATAGGTATGAGGATTTAAACTTGTATGCAAAGAGTGGAGCACACTGCTTTAATCAATTTGACTAAACCCAAATCTCTAAGAGTATCTCTAAAGAAGATATCAACTTTTAAACATAAAATTTAAATTTGAAAGAGAGCATAGTTGAAAGATGAGAAAGTAGGTTTGACAAGAAAAAATGAAAAAGTAGGATACGAAGCTATTGCCAATTTTGGCAGCAAGAATGAGAGCTGTCAATCCATATCATATCACATCAGATTTGGCTTCTTGATTAAAAAACATTGTTGCTTGTCTGTTTTACTCTTACTTCCAATTTAAACGTTTTGACATTTCTTTTGAATATGCTCTAACGAACAAATAAAACTTGACTCGAAACAAAAAAAAAAGTATACAGATTAATTTTCTTTTCAAATAGAATTTGGGATCAACTTCTAATTTTTTTAGTTTTTGAGTCAATTGATCAACTTCTAATTGTTGCTTTTCCTGGAACCAACACTACACTAGTTTGGGTCACTTTACTGCCGTGTATATAGTTATAGGGGTGTGTGGATAGCCGACAATTATGCTCACACACCCCTTGATAATTTTTGTTATTTAATCTTCTTCAATTTATCCGATCCGACAGCTGAAAATTAAAAAAGTGTGTGAAAAGTAAAATGGGATATGTGGATATCACACCCCATAGTTATATCCTTCACGTGTGTCTTGGGCACCACGTTAGTGTCGGCCCCAGGAAATTCCACATTGACATTTGACTCTCCTCCCTCTCTCTCTCTCTCTCTCCCCCCATATATATATATATATATAAACAAAACATCCCACAAAATCTTCCTTCAATAACCAAACCAGAATATCAGAACCTCCCCAGCAAAAAGCTCCAGAAATCATGGAGTTTTTTTATTCATCAAACCACGGTACTCTCTCAACCTTCTTCTCAAACTACTCATCATTTCTGATGCATCCAGGTACTGATTTTCTTCTCAAACAAGTTTTTATACGTGGGTTTTCCGGTTCATTACACCTAGTGTTGTTATGTGTGTTGTTCTTCTCTTGGTTGTGGAGGATATTCAAGGGAGGTGATGGAGGAGGAGGAGAAGCTCCGAAACAGAGGTTTTCGAATAGTCGAAATTCGTACTACAAGCAGGCTTTAATTTGTAGTTTCTGTGTTTCTGGGTTTAGTCTTGTTTTTTGTTTATTGAACTACTTTTGTTGGTACAAAAATGGTTGGTCTGATGAAAAAGTAGTGACCCTCTTGGATTTAGCTGTTAGAACACTCTCTTGGGGTGCAGTTTGTGTTTACCTGCATACCCAATTCTCCAATTCTGCTGAATCCAATAAGTTCCCAAATTTTTTGAGAGTTTGGTGGGGTTTCTATTTCTCTATTTCTTGCTATTGCCTCGTCATAGACATTGTTCTTTTCAAGGACCATCTTTCGTTTCCTGTTAAATCTTTGGTTTTCGATGCTGTCTGTGTTGTTTCGGGTTTGTTTTTCATATATGTGGGGTTTTTGGGGAAGAAAGAGGGCAGATATGCTGTTCTGGAGGAACCCCTTTTGAACGGTAATCGTAGTACTAGTGTAGGTAATGATGGAGAGTCAAATAAGTCGAAAGGGGGAACAAATGTTAACCCTTATTCGAATGCTGGAATTTTCAGCATCCTTACCTTTGCTTGGATGGGTCCTTTAATTGCGGTTGGGAATAAGAAGGCATTAGACCTTGAGGATGTTCCTGAACTAGATAAGGTTGACAGTGTATTTGGGTCCTATCCTCTTTTTAAAAGTAAGCTCGAGGCCGGGTGTGGTGGGAACGGCAGAGTTACCACACTTCATCTGGTGAAGGCATTAATCTTATCAGCCTGGAAAGAGATTCTCTTGACGGCTTCATTTGGGATTTTTTATACAATGGCGTCTTATGTCGGTCCATATCTGATCGACACATTTGTCCAATACCTCTACGGGCGACGGCAGTTCAAAAATGAAGGCTATGTTTTGGTTTCTGCATTTTTGATTGCGAAGCTCGTGGAGTGCCTCACTCAAAGGCACTGGTTCTTTAAGACGCAACAGGTTGGAGTAAGAATCCGAGCGGTACTTGTTACAGCGATCTATAACAAGGGTTTGACCTTGTCATCCAACTCCAAGCAGGGCCACACTAGCGGTGAGATTATCAATTTTATGACTGTCGATGCTGAGAGGATCGGTGACTTCACTTGGTACATGCACGATCCATGGATGGTCCTTGTACAAGTTGGCTTGGCCCTAGTGATTTTGTACATAAATCTTGGTCTTGCAGCTATTGCAACATTGATTGCAACGATAATTGTTATGTTGGCAAATGTTCCTTTGGGGTCCTTGCAGCAGAAGTTTCAGGACAAGTTAATGAAGTCAAAAGATAAAAGGATGAAGGCAACATCTGAGATCTTGAGGAACATGAGAATTCTCAAGCTTCAAGCATGGGAGATGAAATTTTTGGCTAAAATTAATGAACTCCGGAAGTCGGAGGAAGGGTGGTTGCGAAAGTTTGTTTATACTTCGGCCATGACCACATTTGCCTTCTGGGGTGCCCCAACATTTGTGTCTGTTGTCACTTTTGTTGTTTGCATGCTTTTAGGAATCCCACTCGAATCCGGGAAGATCTTATCTGCACTTGCAACGTTCAGGATTCTTCAAGAGCCTATCTTCAATCTTCCAGACACAATTTCTATGATAGCACAAACTAAGGTGTCTCTTGATAGAATTGCATCATTCCTTTGTCTTGATGACTTGCAGCCAGATGTTATAGAGAACGTCCCAAGAGGTAGTTCCGATACAGCAATTGAGATAATTGATGGGAATTTCTCTTGGGATTTATCTTCCCCTAATCCAACATTGAAGGATATAAATTTCAACGTGAGCCATGGTATGAGGGTTGCTGTTTGTGGTACTGTTGGCTCGGGCAAGTCGAGCTTACTTTCTTGCATTCTAGGAGAAGTTCCAAAGATATCTGGGACTCTTAAGTTGTGTGGGACAAAGGCCTATGTTTCTCAGTCCCCGTGGATACAGAGTGGAAAGATAGAACAAAACATATTGTTTGGTAAAGAGATGGACAGAGAAAGTTACGAGAGGGTTCTTGAAGCATGTTCGTTAAAGAAGGACCTGGAAATTCTATCATTCGGTGATCAGACGGTTATAGGGGAGAGGGGAATCAATTTAAGTGGCGGGCAGAAGCAAAGAATACAAATTGCACGATCTCTGTACCAAGATGCTGATATTTATCTGTTTGATGATCCTTTTAGCGCCGTTGATGCTCATACAGGATCCCATCTTTTTAAGGTATTTCATTTCTCTAATCCAACGTGATTGCATATACGTAATAAACTGAATCTTCAAAACTCTTTGCATCTTAGTATTAGTGACAATGCATCCATAGTATTCTTTTGCTTGGCCTGAACTGATGTATGATTTGACCATTAATTTATTTAATTGACAATTGCACAACAGGAATGTTTACTGGGCTTGTTGAGTTCGAAAACAGTAATTTATGTCACTCATCAAGTGGAGTTCTTGCCGGCTGCTGACCTTATATTGGTAAAGTATCCACAGAGCTTTTCTTGAAATTCAGTTTGTAATACGTGTTATTATCTACTTGGTATCTGTCTGCTCAAAGTTACTCCTTGTCATCAGGTCATGAAGGACGGAAGGATTACTCAAGCTGGAAAGTTCAATGATATTCTTAGTTCCGGAACTGATTTTAAGGAACTTGTGGGAGCACATGAAGAATCTTTGTCCTCGCTTAACTCGGTAGAGGAAGGGCCTGCTGAACAAATAAGTGTGAGCAACAAAGATGCAAATTTGGCTAGTACTACTGGGGTTGTCCAAAAAGAAGAAAGCAGTGATGTTCAGAATGGTAAAACAGATGATTTAGGTGGGTCAAAAGGGCAGATTGTTCAAGAAGAAGAGAGAGAGAAAGGTAGAGTTGGGTTTGCAGTCTACTGGAAGTATATCACCACAGCATACGGAGGAGCTCTTGTGCCTTTTATATTGCTTGGACAAATTCTCTTTCAGATCTTTCAAATTGGAAGCAATTACTGGATGGCTTGGGCAACTCCCGTGTCTGAGGATGCGCAACCTACTGTTACAAGCTCTACACTGATAATTGTGTACGTTGCTTTGGCTATTGGAAGTTCTGTTTGTGTTCTCTTCAGAGCCATGTTTCTTGCAACAGCCGGGTACAAGACAGCAACTATACTCTTTAGTAAAATGCACTATTGCATTTTCCGTGCTCCAATGTCTTTCTTTGATGCGACTCCAAGTGGACGAATCCTAAACAGAGTAAGCAACATATATTTCTAATGCCATACCTGATTGGGTGGTTCAAAAAGAATTATATGAGTTTTATGTAGTTTCCCTCTCTGCGTTAAAACCTTCCACTTCCTCTGCTACAGTACTAAAATCAGTAACCGCATCAATGTTGCTAAATGATTTCTTGCAGGCTTCTACTGACCAAAATGTAGTGGACATGAACATGCCAAGTCAACTTGGGGGCCTAGCGAACTCAATGATCCAGCTTTTGGGAATTATTGCAGTGATGTCACAGGTTGCATGGCAGGTTTTCATCATTTTTATCCCTGTGGTTGCAATCTGTATCTGGTATCAGGTAATTCTTCTCACCTTTTCGGAATGCTCCTATTTTATACATTCTATTGATACGTTAACTTATCACATGAATTCAAATATGGAAAATCTTCCTGTTTTAATTCTTCACTTTTCATGCTCTATTGATGCTCTTTATTCATGCCTTACTCACCTCAACTTGGCTTCCTTATTGACGGAAAAATTAGCTCCTGTTACAGCCAGAAATATATAAGAATCATGTTAAATAGGATGCTCACGAATTTATATTGATGCAGCAATACTACATTCCTTCAGCAAGAGAACTAGCACGGTTGGTTGGGGTATGCAAAGCTCCAGTGATACAACATTTTGCCGAAACAATTTCAGGGTCGACAACAATTAGAAGCTTCGACCAAGAATCAAGATTCAGGGATATAAATATGAAATTGAATGATAGTTTTGGTCGCCCTAAGTTCCATACTGCGGCTGCAATGGAATGGCTATGTTTTCGCTTGGATATGCTGTCATCTATCACATTTGGGTTTTCTTTGATTTTCTTGATCGCTATTCCAGCGGGGGTGATTGATCCAGGCAAGTGATATTCAACTTGTGTGTTACTGATTATTCTTTTTGAACTGTTTGTTAAGCATGATCTTATTTGCTTTGGATATTTTACTCTAAAGGCATTGCGGGCTTGGCTGTCACATATGGACTTAATCTAAACATGTTACAAGCTTGGTGTATATGGAACCTTTGCAATGTGGAGAACAGAATAATATCGGTGGAGAGATTAATACAATACACTAATATTCCCAGTGAGCCTCCTCTTGTAATAGAATCCAATAAGCCGGATCGTTCTTGGCCATTACGTGGAGAAGTTGATATACGTGATCTTCAGGTACTTTTTGTTCTGGTTTATTACTTTCATACAATGGAGGATCAGTTACGTTTATGATTTTATTTCATGCTTATATAGGTCCGGTATGCACCACACATGCCACTTGTGTTGCGAGGTCTCACATGTACCTTTCCTGGAGGAATGAAAACTGGGATTGTGGGGAGAACTGGCAGTGGCAAATCAACTCTCATACAGACCCTTTTCCGAATTGTGGATCCTTCTGCTGGCCAGATTTTGATAGATAGTATTGATATCTCTTCAATTGGACTGCATGATCTGCGGTCTAGGTTGAGCATTATCCCTCAGGACCCAACCATGTTTGAAGGGACTGTAAGAAGCAATCTGGACCCGCTTGAAGAGTACACAGATGAACAAATTTGGGAGGTTGGTTGATTACAATTCTGTTCCCACTAAATGTTCATCATTATCTGGTTTTTCAGTTCCAAATTGGCGTCAATTGGTTTAAATGTCTTTTATTTGTTTTAGGCCCTCGATAAGTGCCAACTCGGAGATGAAGTTAGGAAAAAGGAAGGAAAGCTGGATTCCACAGGTTTGTTCTAACATAGAGGCTATATAGATGCTCTCAATTCCATTCTATGTCATGGAAATTATTTGTGCTTATGTTCGACAATTGCTGCAGTTAGCGAGAATGGAGAGAACTGGAGTATGGGTCAGAGACAGCTGGTCTGCCTTGGCCGTGTGCTCCTGAAGAAAAGTAAGGTTTTGGTGCTTGATGAAGCTACTGCATCAGTTGATACAGCCACGGATAATCTGATCCAGCAGACCCTTCGAGAACACTTTACTGACTGCACAGTCATTACTATTGCGCATCGTATAACTTCTGTTCTTGACAGTGACATGGTTCTGCTTCTAAGTCATGGTTAGTATTGCCATATGAATCCATTCTACTTTCCAAATGATCCTCATAGTTTTTTACTTGAATGTATTTTTTATTGTGTTGCAGGGCTTATTGAGGAATATGACTCCCCTGCAAGATTGCTGGAAAACAAATCATCGTCTTTCGCTCAGCTCGTGGCAGAGTACACAATGAGGTCGAATTCCAGTTACGACTAGTTTGAATGACAATTAAAAGCCCAAATCTTCACAATGCACTACTCAACTGGGTGACAAACTGTTTTGATAACGACGAATAAGTGGCGAGGATGATCTTACTCATGTTTGTACCGAACCATCAGAATCGGGCGATCGAGTTGCAGGTTCAAAGTGTATTTTAGGCTATATTCTGTTAGAAATGTTGTATTATTCAAGTAATTGTTGATCTCAGAGTTAATGTAGCTGTCAAATTTTGTATTGAATTTAGTTGAATGGTTGGAATTTCGTCCACAAATGTCTGCTTGGTTGGTTTGAAACGTGGATTAGGCAAGTTGGCTATGGTAATCTGCATGCAACCCCACACTCGTTTTGTCAAAAAGTCTCCACTCCACAAAGGATACCAATAATTGTGCGTGCCCAGGACTCATGGTTGGAGCATGTTCTGCCATATTCAATCTTTATCCGTTTTTTGTTGAAATTTCCAAACAGAATTATACTTGTTGCGGGAAATTTTGATTTTCTAATTACAAAGGCTCTTTAGGATGCAAATCTGATCTGTGTAGGATTTTTTTCATACAAAAAAATTACAATAGTAATTCAAATTACCATAAGCATTCAGTCTTTGTTCAAGAAAATAGTTAATTACACTGACCCCTTCTGAAATTTATCGTATTTTTATAAAACCTCTTTAGATTTAGACTAGAATTTGTACCCGCGCGTTGCTACGGGATTGAAAACCATATAAAAGATTATGCAATTTCAATCTTCATAAACAATGTTGGAGTCAAAAACAGAGTTACCAATGCCAATGCAAATTATACACAACATCATCATGAATGAAACAAATTTAAATATTAAAAGATAAATGCAACATTAAAATTTGTCCTCTGCTATGTTGGTCATTAAGGACGCATCCCAAGGCAAGAGAAAAAAATTGAAATAAATTTATAGACAATAGAATTATACCATGAACAAAATAAGGATAAAGTGTGTTTGCCTAGTGTTTTCGTGTGCAGAACTCTGATTTTGCACGAAATGGAGATGACCTTCTCTGGCAATTCTATAGGACGCGATCAAACTTTTGTGCGTTTCTAACTTGCCTTGCAACCAAGTTTCTACAAAAAAACATATCGAATTCAAGAAAGTGATTAGACCAATGCATAAGAGTGTAAGAAAAAATATAGAAAATATAAACCACATATACCACTTATCATACTCTTTTGTATTCTGAATACACCTAAAAATATATTGATTTCTAGTGAATAGTTCGGTTCCAATTAATTCCATTTTAGTTTCTTTCAAATCCTTCAACTTATCCTTGACTTTTTTTTAACAGCATCATAATTAAGAGTTAGCTTCCATCAAATCCTTCAACCAATTCCACCCATACCTCTCTAACCCTTCATAATCCAAATTTTACTCCCTTAAACCCTTTAACCTAACCTTGACTTTGTTTTTACAGCTTAGTTTCATTTAAAAGCTTATTTTCTCTACAAAATCATAATAGTTTCTGTCTTGCATCACATTTTAAACTCTTGATAACATTAATTTCCATCTCAAATTAGAATGAACCTCCAACGTTAGAAATACAACAACAACAACAACAACAAAGCCTTTTCCCACTAAGTGGGGTCGGCTATATGAATCCTAGAACACCATTGCGCTCGGTTTTGTGTCATGTCCTCCGTTAGATCCAAGTACTCTAAGTCTTTTCTTAGGGTCTCTTCCAAAGTTTTCCTAGGTCTTCCTCTACCCCTTCGGCCTTGAACCTCTGTCCCGTGGTCACATCTTCGAACCGGAGCGTCAGTAGGCCTTCTTTGCACATGTCCAAACCACCGTAACCGATTTTCTCTCATCTTTCCTTCAATTTCGGCTACTCCTACTTTACCTCGGATATCCTCATTCCTAATCTTATCCTTTCTCGTGTGCCCACACATCCAACGAAGCATCCTCATCTCCACTACACTTACGTGTTGATGCTTCACCGTCCAACATTCTATGCCATAAAGCATTGCTGGCCTTATTGCCGTCCTATAAAATTTTCCCTTGAGCTTCAGTGGCCTACGACGGTCACACAACACGCCGGATGCACTCTTCCACTTCATCCATCCAGCTTGTATTCTATGGGTGAGATCTCCATCAAATTCTCCGTTCTTTTGCAAGATAGATCCTAGGTAGCGAAAACGGTAGCTCTTTGGTATTTCCTGATCTCCGATCCTCACCCCTAACTCATTTTGGCATCCGTTTGCACTGAACTTGCACTTCATATATTCTGTCTTTGATCGGCTTAGGCGAGAACCTTTAGATTCCAACACTTCTCTCTAAAGGTTAAGCTTCGCGTTTACCTCTTCCTGCGTTTCATCTATCAACACTATATCGTTTGCGAAAAGCATACACCAAAGAATATCATCTTAAATATTAAGTTTGTGATCTTCGCTAGATTGCTTCGGTTATTAGTGTGGATAAGTATGTAAATGGATATAGACAGGAAGCAAACACAAGATGTACGTGGTTCACCCAGATTGGCTACGTCCACGGAGTAAAGGAGTTCTCATTAATTGTGAAGGGTTTACACAGTATATAGGTTCAAGCTCTCCTTTAGTGAGTACAAGTGAATGATTTAGTACAAATGACATTAAGAAATATTGTGGAAGAATGATCTCGTAATCACGAAACTTTTAAGTACCGAAGTGTGGTATCGTCTTCACTTGCCTTATCTGTCTCATAGGTAGATGTGGCATCTTCTTTGGAAGTACTCTTCCTCTCTCTAGGGGTGGTATCTTTAACTGGTGGAGATGCACAAGGTAATGTATCAATTTCACTTGACGCTTACTTGTAGTTTCAGGCTTGGTCAAGCGCGATACAAACTATGTAGTAGGAGTCTCCCAAGTCGCCGAGCTAGGGGATCTGCTGAAAGAGGTGACAGACAAGGTAAGCAATCAGAGCTCCAAGCAATCAGTCCCAGATCAGAAGTTTGATTTCGAGTTCCGGCTGATTGTTATCCTTCTCCTTATCTTGCAGGTAGCATGAAGAATAAAGAGAAGAAAATGAGAAAATGTGATATGAGATACTTTTGCTTTTGAAGAAGTAACTTTCCACAGGCTTATTCTTGAACTGGGCTGGAGGGTTTTCTTGTTTCCGCCAGAGTATAAGGCCGACTGAAGAATTTGAGGGTCAAAACAAGTCCATCAAATCTAGAGTACTTTCAACCCTGCTGATATGGGATACTTTTACTGTTGACAAAGTAGTGGATGTATCGGCACGTGTTCTATTGCGCTTGTCTCCACATGCTTCCTTGTATCCTTCTCACTTGCCCTATTTGTTCCTCAGGCAGATGTGGTATCTTCTCGGGAAGCATAAGATGTTGAAGATGAGTACTCGAGAGCAATGAGGTTCCAGGCAGTCAGTTCCGGACTGGAAGCTTGATTCCAAGTGCTGACTGATTGCTCTCTTTCTCCTTGTCTTGCAGGTAAGAACAAGGTCAAAGGAAAAGACAGGGAAAAAGCATGATATGGGATACTCTTGCTTTTAACCCTGATGATATGAGATATTCTTGCTCTAGTGTAGCTTGTTTGCAGAGGTATTCTCGGGGGGAAAGAAAGCTGAGTATTTCGAGAGGCTTCGTTGGGAGTGCCCTCTCAGATATGAGAAAGGGTTGAGCATTTTTGCAGGTCTGCCTGTCCGTTGAGAATGGAGGTCGACATATATAGGAGTCTCCCTAACAAGGAGTAATACTATTCTTTTACCCTGCTTGATCATAACACGGTAGTGGGAGCTGCCAGCTTCACGTGTTTTAACTCTGTCAGAGCACTTTGAAAAAGTGGTATGTGGTATCTGGAAAGCTGATGTTACATGTGAAGATTACAGACAAGCTTTATCCAAGGAGATCTGGCTCTCGAAGTTGAGAAAGCGGTGTGAGGATTACAGACAAGCTTTATCTAAGGGGCTCTCGAAGTTGAGAAAGCAGTGCCTCTTCGGTTTTCGAACAAGCAATCCTGTCGGGGATCTGTCTCTCGAGATTCAGAGAACGGTGCCTCTTCGATTTTTAAAAAAGCAATCCTGCTAGGAGTCTGGCTCTCGAGATTCGGATAGCGGTGTCTCGTCGCTTTTTGAGAAAGTAATCATGTTGGGAGTCTGGCTCTCGAGATTCGGAGGACGGTGCCTCTTCGATCTTGAAGCAAGCAATCTTGTTGGGAGTGTTTTCTCGAATGTGAGTAAAGGTTAGGCCTGTTTGCTAGTCTACCTTGCCACGGAGCACAGAGGTTGACACACAAGGACTTTCCAATTATCCAGCAATGGTCATGTTCCTTTACCCTTGTGGGTAATAATATGGTAGCTAGACCTTCAAAATTTATGTATCTAAACTTTGTTAGTGCTGTTTCTTTGCTATTCTTTTACCCTTCTTGGTCATAGCGATGTAATGGGAGCTGCAAGCTTCACGTGTCTAAACTTTGTCAGAGATTTTTGGCAAAGTTATCTATGGTACCCGTGAGCTGATGTTGCGTGTGGAAAGTGAATGATTGAACAGTAACATTCACGTGCTTTCTACTTCACTAGAAATCTTCGACAGAATGCCCGTAATTTCCGCAAAGTTGAGTGTGCATGTGACAGGTGCTGACAATGCTGAAAAAGCAGGTGCCTCTTCGATTTCTGAGATCGGCCCTCGTGGTCTCTGAGCAGCCCAGCTTTTGAGAAAGCAAGCGCCTCTTCGATTTCTGCGATCGACCTTCGTGGTCTTTGAGCAGCCCAGCTTTTGAGAAAGCAAACGCCTCTTCGATTCCTGAGATCGGCCCTCGTGGTCTCTGAGCAGCCCAGCTTTTGAGAAAACAAACGCCTTTTCGATTTCTGAGCAGGCGCCTCTTCGATTTATGAAGCTCCATCGAGTGCGGATTTTTATAGAGGCTGGTATTAAGTTCCAAAGCACACTTGAATCTCCACCAGTAGAAGCTCCCTTCTTGCATTTCTAAGATCTTGATTTGTCCGACCTCTTTTCTCTTCAACACCTTTGAAAATGTATGGCCCCTCCGACCGTCGTTTTGACTTGAACCTTGTTGAAGAGGCAACCACGCCTTCTCCAGACAACATATGGCGCCCATCCTTCTTCTCCCCTACTGATCCTCTTACCGTTGAGGATTCCGTGATGAAGAATGATATGACCGCTGCTATGGTGGCCAGGAACCTTCTCACTCCCAAAAATAACAGACTACTTTCCAAACGGTCTGATGAGTTGGCTGTTAAGGATTCTCTGGCTCTCAGTGTTCAGTGTGCAGGTTCTGTGTCTAATATGGCCCAACGCCTATTTGCTCGAACCCGCCAAGTTGAATCATTGGCGGCTGAAGTGATGAGTCTCAAACAGGAGATTAGAGGGCTCAAGCATGAGAATAAACAGTTGCACCGGCTCGCTCATGACTATGCTACAAACATGAAGAGGAAGCTTGACCAGATGAAGGAATCTGATGGTCAGATTTTACATGATCATCAGAGGTTTGTGGGTTTGTTCCAAAGGCATTTATTGCCTTCGTCTTCTGGGGCTGTACCGCGTAATGAAGCTCCAAATGATCAACCTCTGATGCCTCCTCCTTCTAGGGTGCTGTCCAGTACTGAGGCTCCGAATGATCCCCTCCGGTGCCTTTTCTTTCTGGAGCTCTGCCGACTGCTGAGACTTCTCCTAAGCAACCTTTGTGAAAGCTCCCTCTTGTTTGTTTATTTTGACTCGTGTATATGTACATATTTGTAACTTCTTAGAGATATCAATAAATAAGCTTTGTTTCATTTCAACGTATTGTGTTAAATACACCAAAGCCTTCTTCACTAAGTTCTTTGAATTTTTCTTTTGTTGAAGCTTGTATGTTGAAGCTTTGTGAGTGGAGTATGTAGGTTGAGGTAGTGTTCCCTTAATTTCCCGAGTGGGGAAAACTTCTCGATTGGAGACTTGAAAAATCCAAATCACTGAGTCGGGTCGGCTATATGAATCTTAGAACGCCATTGTGCTCGATCCTGTGTCATGTCCTCCGTTAGATCCAAGTACTTTAAGTCTTTTCTTAGAGTCTCTTCCAAAGTTTTCCTAGGTCTTCCTCTACCCCTTCGGCCCTGAACCTCTGTCCCGTAGTCGCATCTTCTAACCGGAGCGTCAGTAGGCCTTCTTTGCACATGTCCAAACCACCGTAACCGATTTTCTCTCAGTTTTCCTTCAATTTCGGCTACTCCTACTTTACCTCAGATATCCTCATTCCTAATCTTATCCTTTCTCGTGTACCCACACATCCAACGAAGCATTCTCATCTCTGCTACACCCATTTTGTGTACGTGTTGGTGCTTCACCGCCCAACATTCTGTGCCATACAGCATCGCCGGCCTTATTGCCGTCCTATAAAATTTTCCTTTAAGCTTCAGTGGCATACGACGATCACACAATACGCCGGATGCACTCTTCCACTTCATCCATCCAGCTTGTATTCTATGGTTGAGATCTCCATCTAATTCTCCGTTCTTTTGCAAGATAGATCCTAGGTAACGAAAACGATCACTCTTTGGTATTTCCTGATCTCCGATCCTCACCCCTAACTCATTTTGGCCTCCATTTGCACTGAACTTGCACTCCATATATTCTGTCTTTGATCGGCTTAGGCGAAGACCTTTAGATTCCAACACTTCTCTCCAAAGATTAAGCTTCGCATTTACCCCTTCCTGAGTTTCATCTATCAACGCTATATCATCTGCGAAAAGTATACACCAAGGAATATCATCTTGAATATGTCTTGTTAACTCATCCATTACCAACGCAAAAATGTAAGGACTTAAGGATGAGCCTTGATGTAATCCTACAGTTATGGGGAAGCTTTCGGTTTGTCCTTCATGAGTTCTTACGGCAGTCTTTGCTCCTTCATACATATCCTTTATAGCTTGGATATATGCTACTCGTACTCCTTTCTTCTCTAAAATCCTCTAAAGAATGTCTCTTGGGACCCTATCATACGCTTTTTCCAAATCTACAAAGACCATGTGTAAATCCTTTTTCCCATCTCTATATCTTTCCATCAATCTTCGTAAGAGATAGATTGCCTCCATGGTTGAGCGCCCTGGCATGAACCCGAATTGGTTGTCCGAAACCCGTGTCTCTTGCCTCAATCTATGCTCAATGACTCTCTCCCAGAGCTTCATTGTATGACTCATTAGCTTAATACCCATATAGTTCATGCAATTTTGTACGTCGTCCTTATTCTTGTAAATAGGCACCAAGGTGCTCTTTCACCACTCGTTTGGCATCTTCTTCGTTTTCAAAATCCTATTGAAAAGGTCAGTGAGCCATGCTATACCTGTCTCTCCCAAGACTTTCCACACTTCAATCGGTATATCGTCTGGGCCCACTGCTTTTCTATGCTTCATCTTCTTCAAAGCTACAACCACTTCTTCCTTCCTGATTCGACGATAAAAGGAGTAGTTTCTACACTCTTCTGAGTTACTCAACTCCCCTAAAGAAGTACTCCTTTCATGTCCTTCATTGAAAAGATTATGAAAATAACCTCTCCATCTGTCTTTGACCGCGTTCTCTGTAGCAAGAACATTTCCATCCTCATCCTTGATGCACCTCACTTGGTTTAGGTCCCTTGTCTTCTTTTCCCTTGCTCTAGCTAGTTTATAGATATCAAACTCTCCTTCTTTGGTATCTAGTCGCTTATACATATCGTCATAAGCCGCTAACTTAGCTTCTCTCACAGCTTTCTTCGCCTCTTGCTTCGCTCTTCTATACCTTTCACCATTTTCATCGGTCCTATCCTTGTATAAGGCTTTACAACATTCCTTCTTAGCCTTCACCTTTGTTTGTACCTCCTCATTCCACCACCAAGATTCCTTTTGGTGTGGAGCAAAGCCCTTGGACTCTCCTAATACCTCTTTTGCTACTTTTCGGATACAGCTAGCCATGGAATCCCACATTTGGCTAGCTTCCCCCTCTATCCCACACACACTGGGTGATTACTTGATCTTTGAAAGTGACTTGTTTTTCTCCTTTTAGATTCCACCATCTAGTCTTTGGGCACTTCCAAGTCTTGTTCTTTTTTCTCACTCTTTTGATATGTACATCCATCACCAACAAGCGATGTTGATTAGCCAAGCTCTCCCCCGGTATAACTTTGCAATCCTTACAAGTTATACGATCCTCTTTCCTCATTAGAAGAAAATCCATTTGTGTTTTTGACGACCCACTCTTGTAGGTGATCACATGTTCTTCTCTCTTCTTAAAGAAGGTGTTGGCTAAGAAGAGATCATATGCCATTGCAAAATCCAAGATAGCTTCCCCATCCTCATTTCTCTTCCCAAAATCATGGCCACCATGAAAACCTCCATAGTTGCCTGTCTCCCTGCCCACGTGTCCATTTAAATCTCCTCCTATAAATAACTTCTCCGTCTGAGCAATTCCTTGCACCAAGTCTCCAATGTCTTCCCAAAATTTCTCCTTCGAACTCGTATCCAACCCTACTTGAGGTGCGTACGCACTAATCACATTGATGAGTTTTTGTCCTATTACAATCTTGATTGCCATGATTCTATCTCCTACCTTCTTGACATCTACAACATCTTGTGTCAAGGTCTTGTCCACAATGATGCCAACACCGTTTCTCGTTCTATTTGTGCCCGAATACCAAAGCTTAAACCCTGAGTTTTCTAGATCTTTTGCCTTAAGACCAACCCACTTAGTTTCATGTAGGCACATAATATTTATCCTTTTCCTCACCATAACTTCCATTACTTCCATAGATTTTCCCGTTAAGGTTCCTATATTCCACGTTCCTAAACACATTCTACTCTCTTGAACTCTACCCTTCTGTCCTAACTTCTTCACCATCCCCCGTCTAATAGGATCAAAGTACTTCTTTTGTGTATCCTGTGTAAAGTTGATAGGAGCATATGCTCCCAAACAACTTTGAGTGGAGTCGTTCGAAAAGAAGTTTCTATGGCCCCCTTGCTCATTTAACACTGCATCCGGGTGCCGATGGAGATACAGCGACCCTTGCTCACTTATCACTGTGCTCGGGCCACACAGCGCGCCACTTACGGGTGACGTCCTAGTTTTAGCGCGATTTCGTTCTGGATTCATTGTCATAAGGATTCGACGTAACTGTGGAGTGCCGGCTGTCGACTACCTGACGCCTTCCGCCTCCTCCTTTATCCGGGCTTGGGACCGGCAATGTAAGATAAACTTACATAGACGGAGTTAACCTCCAACGTTAGAAATATGAGTGATAAAATGTTTAGTAAAAGAATTTGCCAATTCTCATTAAGAACTGTTAATCAAACTGTAAAAGCTACATATGAGTTTTTCCAACTTCAAACATAGAACCAACAGCAAGAATCCAACTGGAAATGGAATAGACCAAACAGACCATGAACATTACACAATCAGAAGATTTGAAGGAGAAGAGTTCATTACATAGTTGGATGACAGCCGATCAGCAGTAGAAACTGATAAGAGCAAAGAACTTGGCCTCAGATTTTCTCCAGAATAATTGAAAAAACAAATAAACTTAACATGTAGGAATGATGCTGTTATTTTCTCCAGACAATAAACTACATCTCTTAAAATATTAAAAATAATGTATGTGCATTTCATTCATATTTCTATTCACATCATAAACGTAAACCTCAAACCACAACCCATGGTACAACTTTTCTTACTAAACCCTAGAACACATAAAAAATTTAAAATAGTTCTCATTTTTTGTTTTCTGTGCTAAATTCATTCATGTGTTTCTTAAATTTAAATTCAGTTTATAAATTATCGCATCAATCTTTAGAAAGTAAAATTATTCAAAATATGTTGTATAAAACATACTTATTGCTTCCACTTAAGAAAACTGATAACACAAAATGAATTAAACCGGGGGGTTAAAGTAAGTTCTCTTACCAAATAACTGAAGCCAAATTGACATAAAAACATATCAACGTTGCATCATCACAGGTACATCATTAGCAACGTTTTTTTCCTGATTCAAACATAAACATGAATCAATTAAAAGCATTAAAAAAATGAAATAACACTTCAATCAAATGCATAAACAAAAGCAGTTAAGCATTGGAAAATGACATTGCAAAAAAAGCTATGTTAAATATTGTAGGTATTATATTTACAATTAATCTCTAGTTTTAAATAAGTGAAAATATATTAAATTCATAATAATATGCATATACATTTTATTTCCTTGCAACTAATGCAACTAATACAACAATATATAAAACACACTTCATTCAATTTGGAATGTGAAAACAAATGATTCTATTCATGTAAAATTCGAATTCCTTTCTACCACATGAAAAATCCGATTACTCTGACTCGAAACAAAATAACTTGGAAAGCATTGTACTTAATCATATTTCATCCAAAAATTGTCCACAAAATAAAATTTTCACCAACTCAAAAAGAACTTCGAAATATTATACAAAAAGAAGGTAATGCATCTTAAATTTCTAATGGTATTCAATGTCTTCTAGTTTCTAGTTCCTTGATAGACAATAAATTAAATGCCATTAAATGTGTTCTAGTATCTTGCTAGGTAATAAATAATATATGCATGCATTCATAATATATGTTATCGTTTAGGAATTTCTATCTTCAATTGAAGAGGAAATAATATAGGCATGCATTCAAGTCAGCATATATATCCTTTCTATAAAACCATGAGCTCCAAATAATGTCAAATGGATTATGAGTAATGTAAGCAAGTGTTAGAATAAGGGAGTAAAAGCATTGTGCATAAATATGTAAAAACTATAAACCTAAAACATGCACAAAGTATTTATATAAAATATATAGTAGTTGTTGACAACTCCAATATACATATAAAGAGTTGTTGATCCTATTTTACCGATGAACTTCAAAATTTTAGTGCTTTGACTACTGAACAGTGGTTGGCAGCTCAATCCTTCCAACCCATCACATCAGGAAGAAATATGTGAACAATGCTGCATCATTTTGTTTGTGTAATGATAATCTGAGTTGAAAAGAGCAAAAAAATCCTTTCACCAGCCTAACGTAAAAATAAGTCCAAGTAAATTCCCCAAATTCTAATTATTGAAAAAATGAGATCCATTAGGAGTTAAAAAATAGCGACATGCTGTGCAAAGATAAGATGTTATAAGACATACGTCATTTCATCCAAAAGCGCTAGTGGCAATTCTGGATGAGGCGTCACAAACAGGTCAGGCTTAGACATTATCTCATTATGTATATATGCCAAAACCAGTTTGTGTTCATGAACCATTATCTGATTCTTATTCAATGCACAAATAATAAATATACAAATCTGCTAACCTTTAGTTGACCCTCAACATGTGCTCGGAAGATGGCTCTTCCAACATCCTGAAATCATGTCAACAGTTAAAAAGGAGCAAGAAAAAACTAATGTAAGAGTTCTGTAAAATTGAGGCAGAGCATATTACCTTATAGGGCCTCTTTAAAATCAGCTAGACCAAGTTCTATTGCCATGGTTTCATCATCCAATTTGTCAACCATCTGAAAAATGAAGAGAGAGAATCTACATAAGTAAAATCTGAAAAGTAATAGCAAAAAATGAGTTGGTTGTTTAAAACAACGATCTAGCTAAGACAACATCCATACCTGCATATAATTCACAACTTCTGAGGCTGAACAGTGTTATAAGGAATTTCCACCAAGTTCCTTTTCAGAGATCCACCAGTCCCTCTCAAAAATCCCACTTCAATGAAAAGGAAGTTAGGCCACACTATAAAATGCACTACTCCAGCTTTTTTCAAAAATGATATTCTAAGAAGCTAAATGCTTGAAGAACCTAAGAATGAAGATAATCTTGACCTAACTCCCAAAATCTGAAACTATTTCTAGCCGATTACCTTTTTCGAAATCCTAATAGATCAGAGGAACTTCCTCGTAGGTTTGAAGCAGAACCAAATTGCTCTTCTTTTTTTAAAAAGGTAATCATTGGGGGTAACATTCTTCTTGCTCTGCAAGTACAATCACACAAAACAAAATTTTAAGCCAAAATATTTTCAAAAGCTTTATAGAAAAAAAAATATTACAAATTAAAGAGAAGAAATAAGAAGAATAAAGAAAGAGGAGAGTGGAGGAGTAGGAAAGGGGAAAGGAGGAGTGAAGGGAATCGAGGAACCAGAAGAGCCATGTGGGAAATTGAAAGATAACTTTGGGTGTCAAAAATCCGCCAGAAAGGAAAGAAATTAGTCATACCCAACAACTGAAATAGCAGATCAAGCTTAAGATGCAGCAACTATAGACCTCAAAGGTGGTTCTACTGATCTCAATTTCCCTGAATTGACTCAAAAACTTTCCCCAATCAGACTCCCTGTTTCCCATGGACATCGTGGTTGCAGATTCAACTTCCGAGGAAAAATGAGTGTGAATGTAACAAATTAAATCACCAGAAAATCATCTCGGATATAAATAAAATATCAAAACTTCAGCCTGCTTTTGCAGAGATCAAAGGGAAGTAGTAAAAAGGAAAGACCCACTTTTTCCCCCTAATTTTTTAAGGTACATATATACTCAAATTCAAAAAGAGCTGCCGCACCTGATGGTGGCATCATTGATTAATTATGATCGGGACTCTCCATCATAATCCTTCCATCCAAACCTGAAAAATAAAATTTACACAACCAGCAATAACATGTTTCAATGAAAAGTTTAATCTAATTTCTCAGTATAATGTTTGATTTACAAACCTTTTATGAAAGTAATCGCTTTGGGTATAACTGAACTTTGGTGCCCACTATATGGTCAGTCATTCTTCCATCCACTCCTTCCCTGACCCAACAACATCTTCATAATTCATATATATAGTTTCATCCGATTGCTGGGGTGCATAGAGCTCTACTTAAGGCACCATTGTTGGTGTGTGGGACTTTCTAGCATCATCTAAAGAAAACCAAATTTATGCATACACACCAACACACACAGAGAAGGTACTAAAGCTTAACCAACAGTGATGACTTACAGTTTCTTGATAAGCTCCTTTAATCCCAAGAAGTTGATTGAAGCTCGAACCAGTTTTTGTCTGTGGCTGCAAAAAGAACACAACTTTTAACTTCAAAACCCAAAATATCTCACTATAATCCACTCCAACTCTCTCAAATTTCACTATAATCCATTACCACTCTCACCCGATTCTTACAAACAAAATAATCTCAATTTTGATGCAGAACCAGACGTTGAAAACCAAGCACAAAACTTGAGGCGTAATGCGAAATTAGAAACACGATAAAGAAGCTAAATTTGATTTCTAACGAAATTAGAAACACGAAAAAGAAGCTAAACCTTTTTAAAACCTACACAGATCTTTTACAGAGCAGGAGGTTATGAGAACACATCATCCAAGCTTAAAGTTGTTTTTCAAGGCTAGTTCTTATGAGGCTTGAGCCACTCGGAGAGGGATTGTGGGGTGGGGAAGCGGTGCTGCTGCTGGTGGTGGTGGAGGGACATGCTGGGGATTTTGAATAGGCGCTGATGGTAGGAAGGAAAATGGAGAAATGGGGTTTTGGAGAAGAGGGTAGCTCAGGCGGAGGAGGAGAAGAGGAAGCAGATGGAGAGAGATTGTATATTAAAGAACTCGAGAAATCTGAACATGAAGGAAACGGAAAGGTTTACCGGAATCTTCGAGAGAGAGGTCGAGAAATCTGAGAGAAAAGGTAGGTCGAGATACTAAACGGTGTGGGAAGGAAGGGCAAAACCGAGATTAGAATAAACATGGGAGGGCAAATTCGGTAGAACACTGTGATTATGAACAGTGTTTCAGTTCATTTTCTCCTTTAGTATATAAACTAGAACGGTTGCCCGCGCGTTGCCGCGGGAATGTCAAATAGATTATAAAAAACATATGACATGATACATCAACAAACTTTCTAGGTGACACCGAATAAATGTTGCTATTCTAGATGCAATAGTGTAATATTATGGAATGGAATATGATGTAAAAAAGGAGTTACCGCTAACCCATTGTCGGTCTTACATAAACAAAGACGCTTAAAAGCAGGTAAGTAAACATTTTAATGAAGAGGAAATGCAGAAGTAGAACCAACTAATCCACTAGTGCTTATAGTCCCATATCTAACAATATATACACATACATATATATATATGCATAGAAACATGAAAATTTCAGAAAATGAAACATAAAAGGATTGAAAATTCTGGAAAAAGAAAACGGACTTACGGTGATGGACAGCGGAGAACAGAGATGGATAGTGTAGGCAAAGTTTTGGTAGCTGGGTGAAAACAAAAGCAACCACTAATACAATCAAGTAAAATAAATGCAAACAAAGAATATGTAGAACTATATAAATAAGAAATTCAAAACATTATAGCAGAAAATCAATTACATACAACTTTTCTTTAAGCAATCTTTAATTGCAGAAATGGAATCTGAAAAAAAGAAATCCATTAATCAGTTCAAATCCATCAAACTTTTCATCTGGGAAAATCATTGACTCGAACTTGACCATACCTGAGCATGTATCTTCTTACAAATCCAAAACAAAGAAAAAGTAGCTGCTGCCCAGAACCCACATAGAACCAACGACTCCAACCATGTTTCTGTACAGGGACTTGCTCAGCAAACTCTTAGCAACGGAATCGAATTGGGTTTTGAGCACATGGAATTTCCTGGTAACCATCATTCCAATCAACCCCTTTGCTTTTTCACAATCCTAAGGAAAGTTTAATGAGGAGAGAAGATCTGGAAATTTTTCTCGGTCAGAAACATACCTCTTGTAGAAGTGATGAGAAGGAATGAAAAATCAGAACACCACCTGTTAAAAAATGCAAAAATTAAAAAAAAAAAATCAGTCTTCAAAAATCTCTGCAAAATAGTGAACTTGTGTTATCATCATATTATCCTCACCATTACCATTATATCCTGCAATTCCTTGTTCTCCGATTCAAATCACTCTAATTCTCATCCCAGTTAACTGGTTTCGAATTGCCACTAACTTCTATAATTCCGAAATCACAAAATTCTAGTAACGGTATGCCGAAACACAAAATCAAAATTCAATTTCATTGTGCACAGAGCAACTTAAAGATTGAGACTTTTATTTACTTCTACAATTCTACACACTTCCTCATTGGTCACTGCTTCGAAGAATATAGCTGAGCTCACATTATTATCCAACTACAGTTATCCATATCATAAACCGGGGAAAAACAATATTTAGAAGAAAACACAGTGAATCAGAATATAAAACCCAAGCCTTTTTCATTTAAATTTTTTTTTAATCGAAACAGAGTTGATTTGCTAGAGAGAAAGTGAGGTTCATTTGGCAAGAAACTCACTAAAGCATGTAATAATCGAATGGATAATTATCATCAAACATGTTTTTATTTGTCTTTGCAATGCGTTGTCATTATTTACATCAAACATTGATACAACACCGAAATATTATAGTTTCAGCCCATTGTTAGAACACAACTTTCACAGAACAATATGACACCAAAATACAATATTGATTAACAAAGGTTAAATCACCGGTGAAAGTTTAAAAAAACATAGTTAAAAAAATTGCATAATTTACCAGTACTTGGAAGAATATAAGTTAGCTTATACACCAAAGTTATATGTATCATAAAACAAAACACCAACAATAATTAGAAGAAAACACACTTATTCAAAACAGAAGACACTGTTTGACAATCACCAGACAATGTTGTTTGACAACGAAAGCAAACGAAATGCCTGACCATTGAAAAAAATTGTCAGTGTCAATGTTCTTGATCTTTAATTAAAAAAATACAAATTTTAACAAAGGTAATTGAATCACACACTTCAATTTAGTATTACATCATGGATTAAAAGTAAATATATGGTTGAATTCATAATTAAGCTTTAATTAATAACAAAAGCTTTTAAATCTTTGTAAAAGCTTTAAACGATATTAAACACTATGCTCTTTAAACGCTTTTTTTCAATGGACTATTTCATTATCTAAATCTTACACCCAAGCAGTTTAAATTAGTTCAACAAAAAGAAAGCCAACTCTTCGTTTCAAATTTTCAATCAACTATTTTGCTACCTAAATCTTACCCTGAAGGACTTTAAAGGTTGAAAAGATGCGTAAGCTATGATGATCCCAGCATAAAGACACCCTGCAAAGGAAACAGATGAACAAAGGAAAAAAACCAAACGATGAGTAATAAAACTCACAGACCAAATTTCTTAAACACATCACAAATCACCATGTAAGTCCCAAAAACATTCTCTCACACGCTTCTATCTTGCTTTTGTTTTCTCACCCCAAGTTGTAAATCATTTTTGCACCCTTGCTAACTCAATTTTATCTCACCTTAAAACTTTATATCTACGCTGCAACCCGACGGTCTTAACATTGTATTTAAAAGAAGGAATTCCTTACATAAGTACGGTGCAGAAATTTGAAAGGTAGAACACAATCCAATTAAAAATTTGTGCAATAAGAATCGAAACCGAAAAAACTCATCATGTCTCTCATCAACCCAAATCCCCAAAGCCAATTCATGGTCCGAAGAACTATAGGGCTTATTACATTATTGAGAAAATGGACTTCCACTCATTTCACTGTGTGCTCACCCCCCTTTGCGGTATCAAATATCATCGCACAGATGACAGGTTTCTTTCAAAACCCCATTCACCCCTTTCTGAAAGCACAAACTTAACATAAATTGACAAAGCATTTTACCCAATCCAATTGAATTCCTGATTACAACACATAACATAAACTGATAAACCATTTTATCCAAATAACCATTTAGTTTTTAACATTTAAAACCGAACAGAATGAAAGGTATATATTTGGAAAAAAAATAGAGTGTTTGAGCATTTAAATCTCACCCTTAACACTTTTAAAATGCAGTGGTCCAGATGCAAAGAAAAACTGCAAAACAGAAATCCAGGCACAAAAAGTTTCACAATCTTTATAATAATTAATCAAGAAGCCAAATGAGAAATCAAATGAGTGTGCACAAATCTAATTCTACATGGTAATCCGACTTGCTTCATTGTCAACAGTACATGCATTAGAGGTCTTTGCTATTTACTGATTTAGCATATGTGGTCTATATGCAGTCACATTCATTATATGAAGCAAACTGAGGGAAAGTGAGAGTGAGAGATTATAAAACACAATACAGCAAGCAAACCTTGGTGGAGCTTTAATCTGATTGGTTAAGATAGTCGATTGTAATCCATAGTTGGTAATAGAAACATATTCTCATGTTACTTAAGCGACAAAAAGCACGAACTCATTAAATCATAACAAAAAGCACTAATATACACAAAAGTGGGAAAAAAATTATACCTTTTTATTGAACAGAAAGGTTCATTTCCCTGTATCGAGCTTGTAGAAAAGTTGGAATTGCATGAGTACATGCTACATGGCAGAATACGTATAGAGTGCTGGAACTGCACTAATATACACAAATGTGAATATATTGAGTGAACTTAATTAAAAATTTAGAATTTAACTAATACATAAAATCACAAACCTCAACCATGAAAGTTCCACAATCTCCTTTTCTTTCCCAATCTTACTCAGATACCCAAAACAATCTGATACTAAAATTAGTTAAAAAATATATTCAACTAATTGAAATATTATACAATAGTGAAGTTCACAGACTAATTGGAACACATCTTTGCAAGTCATTAAGATTATGGAAACCTAATTGTTGATACGTTATTAAAAAATATGCATAGAGTGCTGGAACACACAAAAGTAATCACTTGCAAAAAAATACTCAAATTTTATCAAAATCTTGCTTCAAATACAAAGGATCCATACAATATGGACCACACTCAACCAACCTCCAATCAAACAGAATTCATGTTTCCCTTCTCAGATGGCGAACACCCATACATGAAACCTGGTTCTTTTCCTAGATGACTAAACCATAGAAAAACAATCCACACGGAACAGAATCGAAATCTCATACCCATAAACTGACTGACAACAACAAAAGCCCAAAATTTTGAAAACACATCTCTCAATAAGAAACCCACTGGTAAAATCTAAAATCAGACAAAATAAAACCAAACACCTGCAGTAAAAAAACAAAAAAAACTCACCAGGAGAAATTACATTGACCAAGCTGAAGATCCGTATAACCCAACCCACCAAGCTAAATAACCTTCATCGGCCGATGAATTTTTCCTTTGAAAAATGGCTCCACACCTGCAAACACAAAGATTAACAAAAGATAAGCCACCAAGGGTTAAAAAATGGCAGAAAACAATAGCGAAGAACGGCAGATATCCAGAAAAGGAAGAAAGCGAAGAGCGGGAGAAACCAAGAAAACGAAGAAAGAAAAACGAACAGAGAAAAATGAAAAAGTGAGGCAAAGAAACTAAAGAAAAGTAGAAAGACATTCTGCCAATGATCAACACGTGTCCAATGTGGACAAAACCGGCATTTTCCCACTCTAAAAACCACAGAGAAGAACAACAGAAGACAATTACAGGGGCAAATTCGTCCACCCACTGGTCATCCACAGTACCACGTGGTTGGATTTTAGTATATAGAGATATAATATAATATAATTTGAAAAATTACATGGACACTCCCTGAGCCCGAGGTTTTAATCCAGTTTTATCCCCCTTAATGACAAATTTACCTTTACTATTAATTACTTAAAAAATAAAAAGCTATCATAAATAAATAGAAAAATAAATCAAATTAAAAATTATATTAACATTAAAAAAAAAAACAGCAAATTCATATTCATCTTCTTCTTTCCTGATAGAATTTTTACCACCTACAAAAGCAAAGATAAAAACACTTAAAAATATTTGCAAGAGAACAAAGTTATCATAGTATAGCAGCTCAAGCAAGGTCTTTTTCATAGGGATTGATTGAATAATTTGTGTTTAAACTAACTCTTAATTAACTATTTAAAACAAAGTTTCGAAAATGTTGATTTTATGACCTAGAATATTAGAAACGAATTTTAAATTAAAACAATTAAAGAAACCAATTTGAAGGGTAACAATCTTAGAAAATAATGATAAAAGGACACTAGGGTTCCACCATCACTTTAGCAATCTTATGTAGTTTTACCAATTATTTATGAATTACACATACAACTTTGAAGGTTAGGTTTTCCTTATGCATATTCTACTTGTGATATTCAAGCTAGAACGTATATCAAACATGCAATTCGTTTGTGGCATTCAGATCAAATATAAACATGCTTGACTCATTATGCTTTGTGAAAGCCCTTTAAAAAACCATGCAACCCCTAAGACCTGACATTCGCACTAGGTGAACTTACAACTATCAATCACAAGAAGCAATACTCAATCCTCCGGTGGCATTCCAACCGAATTGCATCCGATTACTTATCTAAACATCATAATGGTAGCTAAGCATTAATATATAGAGACAGTTTAAACACAGTAATTAATAATTCAAAGTATGTATATGCATAACATAAAATGGTCGAATACGGGTTGAATTGATGCTGCAACAATGGTTGAGGATAGGTGAACTGATTCTGCAAAAATAGTCGAATATAGGTTGAACCAATGCTGCAAAAATGGTCGAGAACGGGTTGAACTAATTATGCAAATATAGTTGAATACGGGTTGAACTGATTTTGCAAAAATGTTCGATGATGGGTTGAACTGATGTTGTAGGAATGGTCGAAGACGGGTTGAACTGATTCTACAAAAAAAGTTAAGGATGGGTTAAAATGATTCTGCAAAAATGGTCAATGACGGGTTGAACTGATTCTGCAAATATGGTCGAATGCGGGTTGAACTAGTTTTGCAAAAATGATCGAACACATGTTGAACTGATTCTGTAAAAATGGTCGATGACGGGTTGAAATGATTATGCAAAAATGGTCAAAGATAGGTTGAACTGATTATGCAAATATGGTCGAATGTGGGTTGAACTGATTCTGCAAAAATGATCGAACACGGATTGAACTAATTCTACAAAAATGGTTGAGGATAGGTTGAAATGATTCTGCAAAAATAGTGGAAGACGGGTTTAGATTCTCCAAAAATGGTCGAGGAATGGTTGAACTAATTCTGTAAAAATGGTCGAGAACTGATTGAACTTATTCTACAAAAATGGTCAAGGATGAGTTGAGCTTATTTTAGTAATAAATGATACAAACTGATTTTGCATATAGTTTCAAAATTGATTCTGCAAAAATACTTGATGATGGGTTGAGCTTATGACATATATTAATTTTGTTGTAGGGTTGGTCCTAAAGTCTTAGGGGTATGACTGATATTTTAAAACATTGTTTTCATGTTTTTGGGCTGAGCTTTAGTTATTTTTATGTTTTTGTCTCTCATTGACATATTTAAAAACTAGTGGAGTTCATTGAAATATAGTGAAAGCTTTGGTCTCTATATATGAAGCTCCCTTTATACTACTACAAATAAATCCTACCTAGAAAAGGTCTTCTAAAAACTAGGAAACATAATAGAATAAGATAACTAGGAAATAAAAGGTTTCCTATTTTAACTGGAATTCAGATTGCAGAGAAAATCCATCTTTTGACCAACCAAATCAACTTCGATTTGGTCCTAAAATATCTCTTTTTAAAGCTTGAGACATCCCTAACAAATCCTCAAAAGGAGTCTTCCTCAAAACAAGTTATGCGCTGGGTCTTCAAAATACCCAAAACGCCCAGAAACGTCAATTTGAGAAAGCTGTGCGCTGGGTCTTCTTTTCTTCACCATTGTCAAACGGCTTGGCAGAAAAATCTGAAACTTTGATACAATCATCTTGAAAGATTCACGAACATCCTCCAATAAGAATCACTCCAAAATTCATCCGTTTAATCACTTTTTGTTCAAAAGGAAGTCAAATGTCCTACATTGGAAATATAATCCAAAATACCAAAATTCTACCAAAATAACCAATAAACTATAACTAAGAATAGAGTAAAATATATGGTATAATATGGACTCATCATTTCCCCTTCCAAGTTTTTTCTAGACCACAAACATTTTTTCCTACCGATTAAAGCTCCATGCTCTAAAAAACTCTCTAGAAACCCTATCGCCCTGCGTCAAACCCTAGCTTCCTCCATGGCCGCCGACCTCTGACTAAGGTTGGGGGCCGATGGCAGCATCTCCTTCACCTCTTGGCCTCCCTCACTTATTCCCATCCTTTCTTTCCCCTCTATTTCCCCCTCTCATCCCATATTTTCTCTCGCCTTGCCATCCATCTCCCTCCTCTTTTCTTACGCCATCTTCCCTCATCCCAGCCTTCTCAGCCCTCCACCGTACTCTCCACTCTTGTGTTTCTCCCCCAACCTTCAGATCTAGACCTTGTCCTCTCAAGATTCACTTTGTTATGCCATTTGAGCTATGGGTGTAGGGGTGGGTTTACGGATACAGTTGGGTCTTCTCTCTCATCGTTTTGACTCTTAGCTTCACGCCTCATTCCCAGATCCAGGTTATGCCTTGCTCAAGGCCTCTTCCTTGTTTCGGGGTATAACACATGATTTGGGCTTAGATTGGGGCTACTGGTGGGTTGAAGCCACACTTTGTCACTATGCTTTAGTGCTGTGGACTTGCTGAAATCCACGCTCGGGTTAAAGTGATGCCTCCTTGGTGGTGCTGCTTTGGTTTGGGCTTCCAAATATGGCGGTGGCTCTATCTGGGCTTTTTGTTAGTGGTTGCATTTGGAACCTCTGCCGTCTGCGATTCATTGCTACTCCGCTAGATTTGAGGGGTGGCGGTTGAACCCATTTTGTGTCGTGGCATGACTGTGGTCATTGCCTGAAGGTCTTATCTTTCCATCGGATATGTCATTTTGTGGTTCCCTTCTCAGATTAGTTTATTTTAGCCTAGTTTAGTTTAATTTAGTCTAGCTCTATTGTCTTACCTAGTGACTGTTATGGCCTCGCCGCAACAATGGTTGTATTGGGCTCTCGCTTTGAGCATTGTATAATGTGGTCTCGTCTACTAACGATGACTTTATGTGGTCTCGCTCCAGCGGTGATTTTATGTGGCCATGCTATTTGGCGGCGACTGTTTGAAATCACCTATACAGCTATGATATATATTATTTTTGTGACATGTTTGTATGGGTGTTGTAGAAAGTTCTAGTATATGTGGTAGCTGCTTAAGGGTTTGCTATTATTGTCTCATTTGCGCAAATTCACTTTCAAATCATTTTCTTGGTCACTAGAGGATTGTAGCCAATTGACACCTATGTATTGCTTTGGGTTGATTAATGAAATACAAAATATTGTTGCTTGTAAAAAAAAAAAACAACAGCATATGGTTTTTTGAATAGCATCAGTAAAACATAGAACATAATTGTTTTTCAAAAAGTGAATGTTATTCTCATTCACAATTACAAACTATGATAAAGGCAAGAAAAACGAATATACAAACCACACATAAAATATGAAATCGTCTTCAACTTGAAGTTTCAAGTTATGTGAAACTGCATCCATGATGAACATCATGAGCTATCAACAACTGGCTCACATAGTAATGAGGAAGGGGTTCATTCATTACTCCCACTATTTTGGTCGACTTAAGCACATACAGTTGTCTGGCTACAGTCTCCAACATGTATGTTATGATGTATTCTTATGCTTCAAACATTAGCTTGTCACTTTGTCTAAAACAAACATTGTACGTCATACGAATCTTTGTCCAGTTGTTATGGCAGCGAATGACGTGAGTTTCTCAGCATAGGTGCTCTCTTGGTGCCCACATGAAACAACTCACATTCAGCTGCAATCAGCCTACTTGGAGTCATGGAAACATATACATGAATTACTCCAAGATCAACCTCATCCATCATAAGGTCTCATCTTAGTTCTCTCTCTAAGGTGACATATAAGACAATTGTGAACATGTGTATTTATGTGCTAAAAATGGTGATTAATTGTATTACTACTTATTTAACATTTTAAATTAATTGATAATAGTTAATTCTTTCGTTAATTTACTATTCCCTATTCGGCTATAACTTTTTTTTTTTTTCAAACCAGTCAAATAAATACTACAGTTGTATTTCACTACAACAAAAGAAAAATCTCTTGCCATACGAAATTTATTCATTGCATAAAACAGAGCTTTCGTCGCCTAAAATTTTGGACGACGAAAAACCGTCAAATAAAGTACGTCTCATAAAAGTTGTCGCTAGACTGTTACTTGACAAAAATTTGATTTTGTAGGCCAACCATACTTGACCCGACAACCATGCCGACGAACTTTCGTCGGGCAAACCTGATTTGACCAATGAGGCCCCACGAAAAAATCCAAACCAACAAAAATATTTCCTTGTGCAAAAATCAAATTTACATAAAAAAAAATCAAAAACTTTCTTTTACTCAACGATATCTGTCAT